TTAATTTTTTTTTTTTTTTGAGACAGGGTCTCGCTATGTAGTTCGGGCTGGCCTTGAACTCACTGTTTTATCCAGGCTGACCTCGAACTCATGGCAATCCTCCTGCCTCAGCCTCCCAAGAGCTGGGGTATTACAGGCAGGTACTCCTGGGTTAATTTTAAATTTTCTATTTCCTGTTTCAGCACTCAATTCCTGCTGTGGAATTACGACAACCCTTCTTTCCCACCCACATGGGACCCATCAAACTCCGGCAGTTCCATCGCCCGCCTCTGAAAAAGTATTCCTTTGGGGCACTATCTCAGCCAGGTCCCCACTCAGTTCAACCTTTGCTAAAGCACATCAAAAAGAAGGCCAAGGTATAATTTAATCCTGGTTAGAAATAAATGCAGTTGTAAGATAATTGTGGTAGAAGTCAGGGAAATGTACTGGATATTAGATTATATTAAGGAATTACTGTTTTTTAGATGTAATAGAATGTTAATTTGGTTATTAGGAGAATGTCTTTATTCTTATGAGATGCATATGAAAGTACTTAAAGTGTCATGATGAGAACAGTTTTCAAAAATGCTACAGCAGGCCCGGGGATTTAGCTCAGTGGTTTCGCCACCTGCTACTCAAGTGCAAATACCTGAGTTCGATCCCCGGTACCAAAAAAACCCAAAAACAAAACAACACAAAAAGGACTGGGGATTTAGCTCAGTGGTTTCATCGCCTGCTGTGCAAGCACAAGGACCCGAGTTCAATTCCCCGGTACCAAAAAAAAAACAACAAAAAACAAAACACAAAAAAATGCTATAGCAAAAAAAAAAAGAAGCTACAGCAGAATCCATAAGAAGATAGTTATAGGGCTGAGGATTTAGTTCAGTGGTGCCACTGCCTGCCTCGCAAGCGGAAGGTCCCGAGTTTGATCCCCGGTACCAAAAAGAAAAAAAAAGATTGTAATAGATAAATAAGGGAAAGTATAAACAGTTATGCCTAGGTAATGGGATAATAGGTGTTCATAGCACTATTGTAATTTCTAAAATTTTTTAGTATATGTTTGCAATCGTTCATTATGGGGAATTGGTACTTATACGGAACACATTTTCACATCTTATCACACTTTCTTTTTTTTTTGGTACTGGGGATCGAACTCAGGACCTCGCACTTGCGAGGCAGGCAGTAGAACCACTGAGCTAAATCCCTGGCCCACACCTTAATTTTTTAAATTTCTGCTTCCACTCCTCTCCCTCCATAGTACTGTTCTTTCAACTTTACTAATGTGTTTGGAAGTTTTCACAATGAAACTGAAAAATGTTTTTCTAGTGTATTTTTCTCAGATTTTATGATATCTGTGTGGAATTACTGTCAGGAGCTGTACTGTTTTTTGGGGTTTTTTTCCTAAACAGATGAGAGAACAAGAGAGGCAAGCTTCAGGTGGTGGAGAGATGTTTTTTATGCGCACACCTCAGGACCTCACAGGCAAAGATGGAGATCTTATTCTTGCAGAATACAGTGAGGAAAATGGACCCTTAATGATGCAAGTTGGCATGGCAACAAAGATAAAAAACTATTATAAACGGGTGAGTCTCTGCTCACAAAATTCTTTGTTATTAGTATAGCTGTAGCTATAGCTATTTAGCATTAATCTGTGAATGTGTATTTTGTCTTTTATGTTATAAATTTTTTGAGAGGAGTGGTATCTTTGTAGTTAATGTTAGTAAGTGCTGTACTCATGGAGTATTACGTGTAGGCTTATTGATTATATTTCATGATAGTAACTGAATTTGCTGTGTTTCTCAAAGAAACCTGGAAAAGATCCTGGAGCCCCAGATTGTAAATATGGAGAAACTGTTTACTGCCATACATCTCCTTTCCTGGGCTCTCTCCATCCTGGACAGTTGCTACAGGTGAAAAATTTGTTCATCTTTTTACTCTTTTCTAAGGAAATGGACAGATGAGCTAGTCAGTCCAGAAAGAACCAGTTCTGATTGATTGAGATGCAGTTCATATATCAATTTTGGGTAGATCAGTGTAATCCAAAAAAATTTTAAAATCTTTTTCTTAAAACTGTTCCCCCCCATTGTGTTATTCTTAGGCTACATATAAAATAACCTTTTGAAAATACATCCTGGCAATCCCAGTAATATCTGGGTGGCATAGGGAAGTAAACCTAGGATTAATAATGTAATCTGTGCATGGTTAAATCCTGTGTATAAAATTGGTCCATTTTAATTGTAATTACTTGTGATCTTGTGAGTATTGACTCAGATTTGCTTGCTTTTTTTTTTTTTTTTTTGGGTACCAGGGATCGAACTTGGGACCTTGCACTTGCGAGGCAGGTGGTGGAACCACTGAGCTAAATCCCTGGCCCATATTTGCTTGCTTTTGGTGAGCTGGAGATCAGGCTAAGATCTTCACACATGCTAGGCAAGCTTTCTGCCACTGAGCTATGCTCCCATCTCTGAGCCATACTTGGTCTCTACCATGTACAGTCCTGCTATACTGAAATGCCTTTTTTCCTTTGTTCCAATAGGTATATAGAGGTCCTTTGGTAACAGCTTGTACATATTTAAGGGGAAGTATAGAGGCCCACAAAACAATGTGAGGAACTCTCAAGTGCTATCCTTTTTTTCTTTCCTCTAATTAATTTTTCTTGGCAAGCTTAACCATTTCCCTTACTATCATACCTCATTTATTTCTGTCACTATTGCTTACTCTCCTAAAGCATCTGCAAAGCTCTTTTTTTTTCTTTTACTCTTTTTTTTTTTCTTTAGCCCCCTTTTTATCTTTTTATATCTGTATTCCACTTCCTGCTAGGGGCGTGTGTGTGTGTGTGTGTGTGTGTGTGTGTGTGTGTGTGTGTGTGTGTGTGTATAATGTGGAGTTGGGGATTGAGCCCAGGACCTTGAACATGCAAAGCACACCCTCTGCCACTGAGCTTCATTGCTAATCCCTCCTACCAAGTGTTAATTATTGTCTTATACTGTTCTTGGGATTCTTCTCCCTGTAACTTTCTTTTGGGGTTTTTAAATAATCCATTCTTTTCTTTTTGTGACTATTTTTGTAGTCACTTAAAGATTCTTTTTCTGTTTACATTCCACATATAGAACTTTTCTTTCCCCACCCATGTGATGATCTTCCCTCTTTCTGTCCACTCTATGATTTTTTTCTGGGAAAACTTTCCTTAGACTTACAGGCTTCTGATAAAACTAGCTCAAATATTTATGTTCTGCTGTCCTGTGTTTTTCTTTGTTTAATCTGTTTTCTATATCTCACTTTTTACGTCATTAGTTGTTTTTTAAATTTTTTTAACTAATTTGCTGATTTGTTCAATACTGTATATGGTAAATACTTGATCTTACTGTTTTGTGTCAGGGACTATGCTGGGGTTATGGTAGTATAGTGTGTATATATATATGTATATATATATATTTTTTGAGACAGGGTCTCACTATGTAGTTCAGGCTGGCCTTGAATTCACTGTGTAGTCCATGCTGCCTCAAACTTGTGGCAATCCTCCTTCAGCCTCCACGTGGTAGAATTACAGCATGTGCTACCATGCCAAAGTACTTGTTTTTTATAATGTGATTTTCTTTTTTTTGGAGACAAAGTCTCACAGTGTAGTCCAGGCTGACCTTGAGCTCACTATCTAGCCCAAGCTTGCCTCAAGCTCACAGTGATCCTCCTGCCCTAGCTTCCTGAGTGCTAGGAATACAGGTGTGCACCCAGCTATAAATGTGATTTTCATGTATAATCTTCATAGCAATCTTGCGAGGTGTAGGCACTTCAAGTTATTTCTGTTTAGTAGATGGGGAATTTAGCTTAGAGATGCTAAATAGCTTATCCTACTTCACACAGTGAATGGCAGAGGTAGCCTCATCTGAATTAAAATCCTGTATTCTCAAATACCCTAAAAGACAGTGGGTAAAAAATTGTCTAATTTTGCTTGATAATCCACATGATAATCCATTTATTGGGTAGACCTTATTAAACAGCCCGATGAAGATGGAGAACAAGCTTGATTTTCCTTTCTCATTAGTTGACAGAACTTTTTAGGGTTTCTCTATGTAATTTTTATACTTTTACTTTTGTTAGGCCTTTGAGAACAACCTTTTTCGTGCTCCAATTTACCTTCATAAGATGCCAGAAACAGACTTTCTGATCATTCGGACAAGACAGGGTTACTATATTCGGGAATTAGTGGATATATTTGTGGTTGGCCAGCAGTGCCCCTTATTTGAAGTTCCTGGGCCCAACTCCAAAAGAGCCAATACACATATTCGAGACTTTCTACAGGTAAGAATGGGAGTTTTTGAGGGTGGTCAGGATGCACGTGAAAAAGGTGTGTGAATTTGGGGGCACATTAGGAAAGATGAAAACACACTGGAACTTAGCAGGGGAAGGGGCAGCTAATAAAATAGATTTATCCTTTACCTAATAAAATACATTTGTTTGTTGAGCAGGTCTTTATTTACCGCCTCTTTTGGAAGAGTAAAGATCGACCAAGGCGGATTCGAATGGAAGATATAAAAAAAGCCTTTCCTTCACATTCAGAAAGCAGCATCCGGAAGAGGCTAAAGCTATGCGCTGACTTCAAACGCACAGGTCTTCACTGTGACCAGCATTATTCCAAAAAATTATTATGGCTTTCCCTTAAAAGATAAGCATGGAACTCAAAAGACAGAAATCAATACCTGTTAAACAGAGAAGGTAGTGGGCTAGGAGTAGTAGCACACACCTAAAATATCACCACTCTGGGAGGCTGAGGCAGGAGGATTGCAAGTTTGAGCCCATCCTAGGTAACTTAGCAAGACCCCTGTATCAAAAATAAAAATTAAGAAAAGGATTTGGGGTGTAGCTTAGTGTGAAGGCCCTAGGTTCAATCCCCAGTACTGGGGGGGAAAAAAGGAGAAGGTAGCAAATCTAATTACTGAGGCTTTGATTACTTTTTTGGTAATTATTTACTGGGAAATTCATTGTGATTGTTGGATGTCTGTATATAAGATGTAGGAAACCTAGCATTGGGGGTTTGCTTGGCCAGACAGTCATGCTAACGGTGGCTAAGCATTTTAGTATCTAGGGCATTGCCTGAATTCAGTCTCTGTTTGCTCTCCTGCTACTGTTAGTGAATGTCAGGGCCTTTAGAATTGAGAACTCTGCATATCTTTTCCAGGGATGGACTCAAACTGGTGGGTGCTGAAGTCTGATTTTCGATTACCAACTGAAGAGGAGATCAGAGCTATGGTGTCTCCAGAGCAGTGCTGTGCTTATTATAGCATGATAGCTGCAGAGCAGCGACTGAAGGTGAGCACCTTGTTTTTAGACACTGCTTGTGCCTGTGAGTTTTTTCAGAGTTAAATAAAACTCCTTTTCATTGGCTTAGGGATGAAGGTGACTAGATTATTACCAGTTAGTATTCAACCTGTATGAGGTACTTTCTGTGTACATCAATTCTGGGGGAAACAGCAGTGTATCTAAGTGTCAGTGGGAAGGCTTAATGAGGGACTTAAAGCATATTGTTTTGCTTTGAAAATGGTTGTTCATCCAATTGGGTGGTGACTTTAATCTCTTCTTTACATGACAAGCATAAAAGTAGAGAAAGTACTTGTCAGCCTCCCAAGTGAGCAGAGATGATGATGATGAGTGCTGGAAAGGTGATTTGGATAAGGACAATATCCTTACAAGGCCAAAATAGAAAAGGTCCAACTAGGGTGGCACAAGATAGCTCTGTTGCATCTCTGCTTAGTTTTTTTATGGGCTTTAATTATCCATGTATCAGTTAAGTTCCTTGGAGTGTGGCGATATAGTATATTTTCCCATAGCCTAAGCATGTGCAATAGTGATAGATACAGTGGCGACTTTATAGAATCCATTCTCCTTGTAGAATATGCTTTGATATTCTGTATAAACCTGTGTTTGTGTTTTTCAATTGATTTTTTTTTTTTATGTATGGAATTCTCTTCCAGGATGCTGGCTATGGGGAAAAGTCCTTTTTTGCTCCAGAAGAAGAAAATGAGGAAGATTTCCAGATGAAAATTGATGATGAAGTAAGACTGTATACTCTCTTTTTCCCCTGAATGAGCAAGTTAAACTTTTTTTTTTTTGGTGCCTATTGGTCTTAGAAAATAATGGGTCTCATTTTGATATATTTGCACATGCATATAACATATTTTGCTTTTTTGTTTTTGTTTACTTTTTTTTTTTGAGACCAGGTCTCACTATGTAGTTCACGCTGGCCTTGAACTCACTGTGTAGCCCAGGTTGGCCTCAAACTTACGCTAATCCTCCTGCCTCAGCCTCCTAAGTGCTAGGATTACAGACTCATGACAATCCTCCTGCCTCAGCTTCCCAAGTGCTGGGATTACAGGCATGTGCCACCACTCCCAGCTATACTTGGATCATTTCTACCTCCACATTATCCTGCCAAATACATCTTAGTTGTTGTTGTTGTTATTATTATTATTATTATTTTTTTTTTTTTTTGGTGCTAAGGAACTACTCCAGGGTCTGCTAGGCACACACACTACTACTGAGCTCCATGCCTAGCCTCATTTATATTTATTTTATTTTTAATTTTGGGGGTTGTGGGGGTTTTTTTGTTTTGTTTTTTGTTGAGACAGGGTCTTGCTATGTAATTCAGGCTGGCCTTGAACTCACTATGTAGTCCAGGCAGGTGATCCTCCTACCTCAGCCTCCCAAGTGCTGGGATTACAGGAGTGTGCCACCATGCTTGACACTCTTTTTTAAAAGGAAACAGCTTTATTGAGGTAAAACAGACACATAATAAGTTGCATATACTTATAAAGTGTACTATTTGACATGTTTTGGCATGTGCTTAAACCTGAGAAGTGTGAGATCCTTACTACAAGATAGGCTGATTTGTCATCACCAATTTTCTTGTTTTTTTTTTGGTGGTGGTGGTGGTACTGGGGATTGAACCCAGGGTCTTCACACTGAGCTATATTTTTAGCCCTTTTAAAATTTTGTGTCAAGGTAGGTCACTAAATTGCCCAGGCTGAGTTTGAACCTCCATTCCTCCTTCAGCTTCCCAGCATACTGGATTATGCACATGTGTCACCACACCCTGCCTACCCCCAAAAGTTTCTTTGTGGCCCTTTATAATCCATTGTTATGCCTTCTCCTTTCTCATGCACTATTTATTCCCTGGCAAGCATTGATCTTTGTTTTGTAAACAGTTTTATTTTGTTTTGTTTTGTTTTGAAACAAGGTCTTACTGTGTAGCTCAGGCTGGCCTTGAATTCAGTAAGTAGCCAAAGGTTGGTCTCGAACTCATGGTGATTCTCCTGCCCCAGCCTCCCAAATGCTGAGATTACAGGCCTATGCCACCACACCGGCAACAGACATTTGAATTGCTTCCATCTTTTGGCTGTATTTTTTTTTCTTTTGGGTGCCGGGGATCGAACTCAGAACCTTGTGCTTGTGAGGCAGGTGGCAGAATCACTGAGCCTAAATCCCGGGCCCTAGTGTTACAGTTTTAACTCTTACATTTAGGTCTTTGATTTGTCTGATTTTGGTATATGTTATTAAAAGGTAAGGGGCTAGCTAACTTCATTCTTTTGCATGTGAATATCCAGTTTTTTCAGCATCATTCAATGAATTTTTCCAGGTTATTGTATATATCAATAGTTTCTTTTTATTGTTACAGAGTATTCCATGGTCGGTACTACTATAATTTGTTTTATCACCTTTGAAGAACATTTTAGTTGCCAGTTTTTGACTATTATGAATAAAGCTATTTTATAGTCTCTTTCTCTTGGGTAGATGCCTAAAAGTGGAATTGCTGAGTAATGATACAGTAATTATTTGCTTAACCTTTGAGGAAACTTTTTCTACAGAGGTTGTACCATTTTACATTCCTATCAGCAGTGTAGGAATGTGTTCTGGTTTCTCTACATCCTCAGCAATGTTTGTTATTTCCTTTTTTTTTTTTTAAC